GAAGACTCTCCAGAAGTGCAACAAGTAACGCATATGAATCTTTTAGTAGATGAAGTAAAAGAAGCTGTAAAAAGCTTGAAAATGATAAAGCTGCTGGAATCGACGAAATCCGTCCGAAAATGCTAAAACCTTTGAAGGAACAAGACATATAGCGGTTAATATGCGTCTGTCAAACTGCGATGGCAAAGGGTAAGACATCAGTGAACTGGAAAAGGTGGCTTTAGTTTCATCATGCAGGAAGACCATAGGAAGTGTTCTGATTATTAGGGCCAGATGAGGTTGCCTTATTGATTCTCTCGGGAACATATCAGAAAGGAGGTGTCACGGCGTGACTGACTCTAAATTAAAACATAAGCACTGTGGCTTTATGTCATTTAGCTATTTTATGTCATCACTACGAGTTGTTTGGTGTTACAGTAACAACCTCTGCTTCCTTTTAGATTGTTTTAACCTGCATCACGATCCTTGTTAACTCAAAACTGTGATATTTTCACTATAAGTTTTAATTTAGCTATACAGGTCTATGAAATTGGCGGGCTCCCAGTCTCACGACTTACGATCAAAAATTTTCCCAAGCAGCTTCCAGTGATTATATAGGCGAACTGTCTTCATTAGCTTAAACCAAAATCACAATAACTTATCCTAATCCCGCATTGATATTATGATCATTGGCGATTCAGCTCAGCCGTTTTGGTGAATGAAGTGTGGGCGCAGACCGGTGGTTGATGTCACTGCTCAGTGCTGCAGTTGCTGCATTGAGTATGTATCACTGAACGGTGGTTATCTACATCAGCTGTTATGCCATGCTACATATCATTAGAATGATCTCTGAAGCATGATGCCGTTGTGAAACTTGTGAATGTTTGGCTACAATTCCATTAAGGTGATTGCGTGAGTTAAGTCAGGGCGCAGGCCTTGGTTTGCGCGTTTGAATCCTCAACAACGGAGGATGGTCACATGCACTAATTGCGTTGTTTTATCCCTCATGATAAAAGTTTATCGAAGGCTCTCTGTCATCACAGTGCGAAACTTATATCACAAGTATGAACCCTGAAGTTAACCTTTTTCTTTTGACGATAACGCGAGCTAATTAAACGGGCGGGTGTTAAGGTAATTTGAGAGTTTCAATTTAAGGAATTTTCAGAAGCCAATCTCTATCAACCTTTTAATAAGTTTGTCCAGTTGTGTATGCAATGAAATGTTCTTTCTTAGCAGAAGACGTTAATTTTGTCACAGTAGTCCATCCGTATATTAAGTTTAGCCACAAGTTCGTTTATTTTGTTTACACCATATATTATGTTTCACTCACTGTACCCAAACAGTCTGACTTAGTGACCCGGCGCAATCATCACGATGGAATCACAAGCCAAATTTGAAATCTCTGAAATTCACAAACTTGAGGACTGTATCTCATTGTATTCGTAGAATGGCTTCCGTTGACAGGTAGCAATAGGAGTAAAGTCAAGCAACTGATACAGATGACCATTTGCCAATGATATAGATTCAAACTTGCAAAAGCAGGACTGCACGCTGACTTAACGACTTCCTTATCACACTGGAATTATCATCAAAAATTTACTAGAGTTACATCTAACTTCTCTCACAGAGTACGTTCCACTGATATATAACATGAGGGATTGAATCAGATCTTTGATAGAGATTGCCATTGTTCGGTTATACAGATTCAAAGAGGCGACCGTAACACTGAGTCCAGAGAGCAACTAGTGGTCTGTGCTCAAGCACTGTTCATCAAAACAGATGAGCTACCTCGCAGATATTTAGAAAAACAGTGTAATCTGATTGACATTTGAATGGAAATGAATGCCCATAGTTCAGAAATTCTATGGTTATGATTACCCTTTTCAAATATAACAATTTCTATGACAGTGATTATACATTTTTACTAAAAATCTGTTTTATCGCAAGAATCGTGACATAAAAAATATTGCCCCTTCTAGTGCCGCATATTTTGCGAATGACTCGCACTTGTTACAATGGCAATTTCAAATCAATGAAGCATTTGTAGCAAAGTGAACTAAGTGACCGTCTGGACATCCTGATTTTCAAATTATTCCAACAATAAAACCCGAAGTTTTGCGCAACGGCAAGAAAGAACTGAACTTGAATACGAGTTCTCGTCGTGTTGACATATGTAAAATTAAAAATTCGACTGTGTAAGCTGTCTCCTAGAATTTGCACGGAGGCACCAGAC